GCTCGAATTGCCTCCCGCACCTTCTTAACTTAATACTTTGCCCAGCGGCAACCATCCCACTCCAAAAACTCACCAACCCCTGCAATATGCTATTGTGCCAAGCTTAGACACTTAAGGATCTTCCACCAATAGATCCCTCCCTTTTATCCTATATTTGTTCATCCAAGTGTTACGTGCCCTTTTTCGGCAAATAGAATTTAGGAGAAAGATTGGAATAGGAAGAATAAGAATGGAGGAAGATAGATAGATTGAGAAGAAGAGAAGTGCTCTCCTTAATGACGAGAACAGAACCCCAAAGCTTTTTCGAGGAAAGACAACCTCCCAAAATTAACATGTAGGTGTGTAAAACCCTTTTTTGATTATACTTGATTGATGCCCTATTTCTATCTATCTGGTACCTTAAATACAGAAGTAAACCCAATCCCCTCTAATCCAACGTAAAAGAACTAACACTAATTATTCCTTCCTTAATTCTAGCTAACAACTATCCCACTATCCCACATCTACCCATAACCCTTAATCCTAATTCTAATTAACAATTGATAGACTCAATTAAATAATAATATTAATAATTAAAGCACATGACATTCCATCCCCCTTTGAAAGATTCTCGGCCACAAGAATCAGCCATAAACGTAACTTCAGTAGCCTTCTTCAACCTTGATCTCTAGAGAGCATGAGCCACCATAGTTGAGATGCTAAGCTCCCATTGCCAAATTTTGCTTCTGCAATTAAAGGAACCGCCGCCAAATAATACCAAGTGTTGTTAAAATTACCCAAGCACTTTGCCCTTAAATCCCGAGGTTTCGTAACACATGATAAGTTGTTGGGAAGCTTGTACGAGGAAGGAGTTAGCTCGTGGACATTGTCGGAGTTGAATTGGCTTGCTGGCCTAATGTTGGCCGCTATAGTCTTCCGGAAGTCAATTTACATGGACGTCTCATGCATAGTCAAACTCGCTCTTGATATCAGCTTGAGTGCCGCAATAGAAGGGGCTTCACATTCCGGCAATTTTGGTGTAGTGTTATGTCAATGAAGAACCGTTGGCACAAGCAGCTTTTGACTTTCGATGCTATCATCGACGTCTTCCTTGAGATGGGGGTCGTTGATTTTGGCCTTGAGTTGGTTGCCGCCTCCTACCCCGTTGGCACAATTGACGAGTTGAATGTTGGATTCCTTCTTCTCCCCCAATGCTAGCAATCGATCGAACCTCTCATTTAGAGCAGCAAAACCTTCCCGCATCACCTGCCTCAACATGTCGTTCTCTTGCACGATCGCCTCAATCATAGAATCAAGTGATTTTGCGCGAACCTCCATTGTCGTAGGATCGGCCGGCTCTGATACCAAATGTTACGTGCCCTTTTCGGCAAATAGAATTTAGGAGAAAGATTGGAATAGGAAGAATAAGAAACGAGGAAGATAGATAGATTGAGAAGAAGAGAAGTGCTCTTCTTAATGGCGAGAACAGAACCCCAAAGCTTTTTCGAGGAAAGCCAACCTCCCAAATTAACACGTAGGTGTGTAAAATCCTTTTTTTATTATACTTCATTGATGTCCTATTTCTATCTATCTGGTACCTTAAATACAGAAGTAAACCCAATCCCCTCTAATCCAACATAAAAGACCTATCACTAATTATTCCTTCCGTAATTCTAGCTAACAACTATCCCACTATCCCACGTCTACCCATAACCCTTAATTCTAATTCTAATTAACAATTGATAGACTCAATTAAATAATAATAATTAAAGCACATGACACCAAGCAACCCATAAAGAACCAGCCTCTGCCAATAAATTCCATAAGTGCCTGATCACACATGCTCTGTTCCAGTTTTTAAAATTCTCGAATGCCTAAGCCACCCTCTTTTTTTGGCAAAGCTACCTGTGACCAAGCAACATGAGCTTTCTTTCTTCTGTCACCATCCACACTCCACAAGAATCTGTTACAAGCATTCTCAATCATCTTAAGCACCTTTAGAGGAAGCATGAAAATCGACATCCAATACTGGAATACACTTGTAATCACTAACTCTATCAATTCCAGCTTCCCAGCATAGCTTAAAGATCGAGCCTGCCAGGTCTGGATCCTCTTAATGATCCTCTCCACAAGATACTCACAATCGATAGATGTCAGTTTTCCAGAAAGGAGAGGTACGCCCAAATAGCGAACTGGAAGATCCCCTAATGGAAACCCAGTCTGCTGAGAAATAGCTTGCTTATCATCCTGGGAAAGCCCTGAACAGAATAATTGATACTTCTGGGGGTTGCATTTAAGACCCGAGATAACATAAAACTGATCCAACAACTGTTTAATTCCAGTAATTGCTTGAGACGATCCATTAGAAAAAAAACTAACAAATCGTCTGCAAAACAAAGATGTGAAATACCAAGACTCTTACAACATGGATGAAACGGAATTACCCCACTGTCAACTGCCCTCTTTAACAGACAAGAGAAGATTTCCATTGCTATAGTAAAAAGATAGGAGGAAAGCGGATTCCCCTGTCTCAAACCCTTAGCAGCTGCAAAGTACCCACACAAGCCTCCATTGAAGGAGACACTCAACATAGGAGAAGTTACACACGCCTCAATCAACTTCACAAATCTAGTAGGCATACACATAGCAATCATCACTTTAAACATGAAACACCAATTCATTAAGTCAAATGCTTTCATTAAATCTATCTTAAGAGCACATCTTGGGGAGATTCTGCTCTTATGATAGTCTTTTACTAATTCTGTTGCCATTAAGATGTTGTCACTTATTAAAAGACCATTGACAAAAGCGGATTGGCTTTTACTGATTAGTTTTGGCAGAATCAAGGATAATCTATGAGATAGCAACTTAGAAATTCCTTTGTATATTACGTTGCACCATAAATAGGATGAAAGTCCTTCATCTTTTCAACTATGGGGATCTTAGGAATGAGTGATAAGACTGTAGAGTTTACCTGTCTAGGCATTCTCCCTGAATTAAAGAAATCTAGAGCAGTGTTCTCCACGTCAACCCCCACAATAGCCCAATCTAGCTTGAAGAACTCAGCAACGTAGCCATCAGGTCCAGTGGCTTTATCTCTTCCCATATTAAAGAACACCTGCTTGATCTCTTCACGAGTTACAGAAGAATTCAGAATGGCAGCATCCTCAGATGTTAGCTTATGACATAGCAAATTCTCAAAAAACTCTATAGGTTGTTGTTGAACATTAGGATAAGCTACTCCTAATAGGCCTTTATAGAATTCCACTACCAGTTACTCATCCCCCTTTACATCAGTTAAGACCTCTCCAGCATCAGAAACCAACCTCTGAATGGTCTGCCTGTGATTAGGGATGGCAATGGGGCGGGTTTGTCTAAACCATCCCCATCCCCATCTTCAAATATCCAAACCCATACCCGCCCCATACCCATGCGGGGGAATGTTTGGCAAACCCATCCCCATACTCGTGGGTTTCGGGTACCCATGGGTAATACCCGTACCCGTACATCCAACATTATTATCCTAAAATTTACAAGAAAAGTTTTAACTACAACTCTAAACGTACCTAGTATATCACGAATTCAACAAAACATGATCATTTTCTTAATACGTTCAAAGAATATGATCCTAAAACATTTATTAATACATAATATAGAGTATAATATTTTTCAAATTATTATGTTCTAACTCTGATACATCTACTAAGTAATAATTAACTAACATAATCTTGTTGGCAAAGGGGAAAGTGAAAGAGTGAAAGGAGAATTGAGGGAAATGAATTAGGTTTTGATTAAGGTGGTCACTCAATTGCATTTCTACTATTTATTTCCTTGAGTTATCCTCATCACCATTGATAGATTATAATTTGATCCACAAGTTTTTGTATATGTGAAGAAATTATCTTGATGGGGCGGATATGGGTATGGGTATGGGGCGGGGGAGGCTAAAACCATACCCGCCCCATACCCATCAAACTTTTTGCGGGTTTTACCCATACCCGCCCCATACCCGGTCAAAGCGGGGATTACCCGCGTTGACTGGGTGGGGGGCGGTCGGGTACCCGCGGCCGTGGGTTTGATTGCCATCCCTACCTGTGATTTCTTGTTTTAACCACATCATGAAAGAAACCAGTATTGGCATCCCCTTGCGTTATCCATTGAACCCTAGACTTTTGTTTATAGAATAACTCCTCAACACTTTGCAACTCTTGACACTCTTTCTTTTTTCGTTGAATCTTGACACTCTTTCTCCTGCTCAATAACTGCTAGTAAATTTGCTGTAGAAGGGTCACACAACACACTATTTTGCAGCAGCTCCAATTGTGCCTCAGCTTCTCTTGCCCTTGTTGATATTTCTGAGTATTCAGATTTGTTCAACCCTTTGAGCTTGGCCGAGTGGTTAAGGCGCTTGCCTGCTAAGTAAGTGGGGTTTCCCCACGTGAGTTCGAATTTCTCAAAATTTCCAGTGATTTAACTAAATTTTATCATATTATGGTTTGTTTTTTTATCTTTTAATGAAATACAAATATTAACAAATAGATTCAACGAAAAAAATATTAACAAATAGTTTTAATATTTTTCATATAAATTACATACTCATTGAGTCGACCTGCTCTAATCTGCACCCCATGATAAATTATCCAACCTGTCACAAAATGGGTATAAATATCGAGATACCCAGCCCGGACCTGGCCATTTTCATTAGTGCATTACTAGACAAAACTACCCGGCCTGCCCAATTTCATTACTAGACAAAAGACAAAACTACCCGGCCAAGACCTGCCTTATTTCATTACTAGAAAAAAGGACAAAAGCTCAGCTATAAGCCTGTAACGCAAAAAAAAAAAATATTAATGACGAAAGACAATTGCTCAATTGTAAACGCAAAAAATACATTCATGACCTGTGAGATTCGAACTCACGCGGGGAAACCCCACTTACTTAGCAGGCAAGCGCCTTAACCACTCGGCCAAAGTCACGTTTGTTGACACGATATCGTTCAGACTTTACTTATTCTATAGTCGGGACCATTTACGCTTGCGGTCCTTCTCTCCGTCGTCGGTTGTTTGCTCCGTGGATTCAGAACGCACACCCATCGCGAAAAACTGGAGATGGGGACTGTAGCTCTCAGTTCCGGAAACCTAACTGCTTCCGATCGTCAAATTCTGAGGACCGTCAATGCAGGAGCATCTTCTCTGTCATTCCTAGGTTCCAGCTTCATTGTCCTCTGCTACCTCCTTTTCAGAGACCTTCGAAAGTTCTCCTTCAAGCTCGTCTTCTACCTCGCAATCTCGGTATGCTCTCTCGCTCGCTCGCACGCTCTTGAGTCTTTTATGGAGATGGGGAGATCGATCAATCTCACACTACTCTTTCTTCTCCACGGCGATTCTGACGACTAACTACTGAACTTTTGTGCTCCATCCAACCCGCAGGATATGCTGTGCAGCTTCTTCAGCATAGTTGGGTGAGTTCCTCTTCATGCCCTTTACTTGCAGCCTGATTCAAATAGCATTTGTGGGGACTTCAATTTCCTTCGTAATGCAGAGATCCCTCGACAGGATTCTTCTGCTACGCTCAGGGCTATAGCACCCATTTCTTCTGCATCGCATCTTTCCTCTGGACTACCACCATTGCTTTCACCCTGCATCGCACTGTTGTCAGGCACAAAACTGATGTTGAAGACATGGAGGCCATGTTTCATTTGTACGTTTGGGGTAAGAACGATTTCCATCCTCACCCTCAACAATCCGCTTATCGGTCTCCCTAACATAGTCTGGCTCCTTGCTTTTGTCAACTAGTGTGCTTGGCATTTCTTCTTTCCCTCCTTTGTTCCCCATTCCGCTCTAACCTTCCCCACCATCTCGAACCTCTTTTGTGCTTTGTCCATGCCATGCCTCCAGCCAGTTCTTTTCACTATGCAACATTGTCTGAGAGTTTCATTTCCACTTACAGGTACCTCGTTGGTTATGACTGTCATACGCTCCATGGGTAATGATCATAGACACTTAGGCGGCGCATGGTGTTCATCACAAACTGGAAGATCAAAAAAGGCAAGCTCACGGCATTGTCTTCCTCTCTTTCTTTCATGCTTTTCTGCCAAATGTACGGGATATGTTGTTCGGTGAACCCAACCTGCTTCGTCCTATTGCGGTGTGGATGATCTTGATCCATGACTTCTTTTAAACCAAAATGATTGTACGAGTTTAAAGTTTGATAGTCTACATCCCAATCATAGTTGCATCTTGTATATCAGTGACTAAAAGTTTGCCCATCTCCATCAACTATTCTTATTTGTGTTATCTGTTTCTGCAGGCGTATCATTTCATAACATTTTATGTCCCCCTTTGGGGTGCCATTCTTTACAACGGGTTTACATATTTCCAAGTCATCCGGATGCTGAACAATGCAACTCGTGTAGGCATCAACTTCCAATCTTTTACTTTTCAATGGGTTTGTTCATATGGATATTATGATAGCCAGCAATGCTTTTCTCTGAATATCAGATGGCAGAGGGCATGTCAGACCGTGCATCTGATGGAAGACCGGACATGAAGGTGTGTTACTTTCCACTGCTGATGTTTCTTATACTCCTTCTGCAGAGTTAGTCTAACGATAGGCCCTTTTCTTGATCCTTTGGGAGCTTCCTTGTCCAATTCATCATTTACAAGCTCTACATGTTTCTGCTATTTGATAACATTGAATCAGTTGCTCCTGATGTACTCAACTTGTATACTACTCACTCATAGTGCAAACTAATTCTCTACTTTTGAGCTGGGTTCAATAGTCTCCTCCTATAATTGGTTTCTATTTGTCTTGTAGGCTCTGAATAGGTGGGGATACTATCCGCTTATCCTAATAGGCTCATGGACGTTTGGCACGTTAAATGTCATCCACGATCTTATCGAACCAGGCCATAAAATCTTTTGGCTCTCGGTGCTTCATGTGGGTACGGCTGCCCTTATGGTAATTCTCGCTACCATTATTCTTCTGGGTTCTGCTTTTGAGGCATCTTTGCTCGTAACTGTGGGAATGCTAGCTGACAGCGAGCAGACCAATTTAACTATTTATCATAAAAACAACTTCTAAAAACCTGCAATATTTGCCACAGTGAAATGCAGGTGAGTTCAATAACAGTTGACTGTATCTTTATTAGCCATGAGAACACCAGGGTGAAAACTTCCATTTGTAGGGTTTGGTTGGCTCTGCCTATATTTCTGGCCTTTAACAATTGATGCTTGTTTTCTTAAACATGTTGATACTCTCATTACCTATACTGATTCTTTTCCTTTTCACTTTTGGGTTTTTGCAGTATGCTGCCCTGTCATATTGAGTTTTAGTTTTCATTAGCCTGTTGGATGCATTTCATGATTGACCGGGGTGCCAATTTCACAGAGGAGGTATTAATTACTTCTGTTCTTATAGGGGCTCTTCAACTCGATAGCATATGGCCTTAATTCATCGGTGCGGCGGGCAATATCTGAAAGATTGGATCTGTAAGATTTACTTTCCAATATTAATCGTCTTTAATGAAACATCTTATGCTTGATGGACCTTAAGGACAGTCCCTTAATGGTATGGTCTTAAATTTACCTAGAGATCCTTTAGTGAATGTTTTACGGTTGCTGCTGAATTTTTACCCTAAACTGTTGTGTTGGTGTGAAGAAGTATAGTTATTAGGGAGATTTGGGTCTTGGGCTTGTTTCCTTCTAATTCTTGCCTGGGAAAACCCTGCTGTCATGATTCCACGAAATAGGCCGTGTTAGAATTCTGATACATTTCCATTTGCAGTTGGAGATTTTGTAAACATGTTGCCTTGAGATTAGATCATATATTCAATTTTACTCTAGCATTAACAGGCTAGATCGTTCAGTTATTTGTTTTCTTGTTTGCTTTGCTCATAAATTATCAATTGTGTGAATACCACATAACTGGAGATGGCTGGGATGCCTGAAATATTTGCCAGGTTCTGCCCTGAGCGGCTACAAAGGTGGTTGCCTGCTAACAGTGCAAAATCGAGGAGTACGGGGCAAGAAAGCGAGCTCGTGTCTTTGAAAGTACAAGATGAGCATTAGCAAGAAGGGTAGCCAACAAGTTGTGTATGCAAGTGATCCTTATAGGTTGAAGAGAACTTGGTGCAGTGCAGAACGGGAGACCAAAACTGATGGCCGCATATGCATCACCGTCATTATTTGATTCATGTCATTGTGTCTTCGAAAACCAAGGGGCTAAGTGTTTATGTTTTGTTAGATGAGGGTCGAGCGGAAACGGAGTTTCGAGCTGATGAAGCAGTCCCTTGGAGCTGTATGAAACTGAAAGGAGGTTGATGTTAGGCTTTCATATTCTAACCTGAGCTGGAATATGGAGCTAGTTGGGGTTTGGATGGGGGATCATAGTTTTTTCATTTGTGTTGTACTTAAGGGCTCCTCTTCCTCTTTTATTGTCTAACTTTGTTTCTGCAATTATTCTTGTGTAATTAGGTTAAGATGTAATTAATTAGCGAGGTTGATGGGAGGGATGGCTCTATTTCAGATTGCTTCTTGAGTGTTGATTAGTTTTGGATGAACTACACAAGACCTATCCTATGGCTTTTCGGTCTGCTCCATTCTTTTTCTTTGCTACTGTAATCACTCAATCGAACCCCTACAATGCACGAGGCGATAAAAACACAGTATGGCATGGCCGCATGGGTGCTTCATCTAACAAGTTCCCGTGTATGCTATGTAGTATGTACTAGGGCTGTTAATCGGTCTCCGGTTTTTCGGTTACCACCGAAACCGTCGGTTTACTGACCAACCGAAAACCGTCGGTTACCTTCGATTTGCGGTTGCGGTTGGACAGTTTCGGCCAGTGGGCAATTGTAGCGGTTAGCGGTTAAAAACCGCAACCGCTACAAATTAACCGCACAAACCGACGACCCCAGACCCAGACCATCGGATTTCCCTCCCCTCCCCTGATCCCCTGACCTAAAATCAAAAGAACCCTAAAATCCTAAATCCCCAAAATCGTGAGAGCCTCCTCCCATTTCTGAACCCTAGCCGCTAGTAGCCCCAACCCTCAGTCCCTCACCGGCCGCCTCCAGTCACCTCGTCCCCGTCGAGCTCGTCGGCCGTCGGCCGTCGCAGCGCCGCGCCGCCGCCCTCACTCCTCTCGCAGTCGAGCTGGTCCCCTCCCGTCGCGTCGCATCGTCCCCGTCGAGCTCGTCCCCGCCTCTCCCATCGTCGCGTCGCACCGCCGCCCTCCCGCCTCTCCCAGTCGAGCTCGTCCCCTCCCGTCGCGTCGCATCGTCCCCGACTCCCCGCCGCTCCCAGCCTTCGTCGCGCGCCGCCCTCGAGTCGCCGCTGTCCACCAACAGAAGTCGTCGTCGCCGAACTCCCGTCCAGAACTCGACTCCAGCCGTCCTCTGCCCTGTTCTCTGCCCTGTTCTCCCGCCGGAATCCCGCACCGGAATCCCGCCGTCCTCTGCCCTGTTCTCCCGCCGTCTTCTGCCCCAGAATCCCGCCCTCTTCTGCCCTGTTCTCCCTATCACCGATTCACCATAATCACCAATGTAAGTTCCAACAGAACAAAAACATTAGTAGGGTGTAGGGATTTGTGGATTATAGACCGGCAAAACTGAAAAAGAGCTAGGAAAAGAGAGAACAATATATTAGTAGATAGTAGTTAGTACTCTATTTAACTATTTGTATTATGAATGTAAAGATTTGGTTTGCTAATTGTTGATTTGTACATGTTTTTATTGATTAAAACAGGGATAGAGGTGGACGTGGTAAGAAACCACGTGGTCGTGGTCGTGGAAGAGGAGAACAAGGAGCAAGAGGTGCTCCTCCTACGGCTTCTCAGCCGCAGGTTCCTTCGCAACCTGCTACTCCTTCTACCGGAGCTACTACAGCCGGAGGAGTTACTCCAAATATGGCGGTTGCAGCTGAGAATGTAGAAGGTATTGCAGCAGATAATGTAGCAGTGCCAGCTGGAGTCGAGAATGCAAATGTGGAAGCTGGGGGAGATGCAACGGGAAGTGCAAATGATGCAGCATCAAAGAAGAGGAAAGCTGAATGTTGGAATGTCTTCAAAGCGATACTGGTTGATGGCTACCCATTTGGAGAATGTATATTCTGCAAGACGAAGATTGCAGCACATCCGAAGTTTAATGGGACAAGTGCAATGAATACACATAGGAGGGCATGTGCGAGGAAAAGGCTGAAGGAGAGTGGTAGCTCTCAAACTTTGTTGAATCTGCAGTCAACATCTACAGCTACTGGTGGTCAGGTAGGATCTCTTTCGACATGGAAGTTTGATCAGACTAAAACTAGGATTGGTCTAGCTGAGATGATTATATTGGATGAGCTTCCCTTTAGATATGTCGAGCATGCTTTAGACGATTTATGGCATTGGCGCAGCCCTTGTTTGTGATACCTGGTAGGCTTACTATTAGAGAAGACTGTTATCGTATCTTCCTTGAAAGAAAAGATATCCTGAGAGATTTCTTTGTCACAAAATGCAAAGGAAGAATTTCGATAACGACAGATACATGGACTTCTGTTCAGAATGCAAACTATATGTGTGTGACTGCTCATTATGTTGGTAAAGACTGGAAGTTGGTGAAGAAGGTGATTTGCTTTGTTGAGGTGACTAGTCATACTGGAGTTGATATAGCAGAGACATTGTGTACTTGTCTAGATGAGTGGAAGATCAAGAGTTTGTGTTGCATCACAATGGACAACGCTAGTGCGAATGATGTTGTGGCTAGTTACATGATAGAGAAGATGCATGAGTGGGGGACAAATATGTTGGATGGGAGGTACTTGCATTTTCGTTGTGTTGCTCACATCATCAACTTAGTTGTCACTGATGGCTTGAAAGAAGTGGGGATTTCGGTTGAAAGGGTTCGAGATGTTGTGAAGTGGGTCAAGTCATCTCCATCAAAACTTACCAGATTCAAGGCGGCTGCTGATTTTCTTAAGATTGAGACCAAGAAACTTGTGTGTTTGGATGTTCCCACAAGGTGGAACTCCACCTACCTCATGCTAGAGTCTGCAGAAAGATTTGAGAAAGTATTTACTTTCTTATATGGAGTTGATGAGAGTTTTAAGAAGTATGTGGACACAAAGAGAGGTGTGCCAACACAAGAAGATTGGAGCAGTGTGAGAAGGCTGATGAAGTATTTGAAGTTTTTCTGTGATTTGACTACGCGTGTATCTGGTATGACATATTTCTAAAGTCTCTTGAACTTTTTCTTATTACTTCAATTTATGTTATACTAATATCTACTCTCTTGAACTTTTCTGTGTTTACAGGAACTTCATATGTGACTGTGCATCTATTCTTCAAGTATCTTGCAGATATTTATGAGGTCATATGCACATTGGAGCAAGATGAAGATGCCGAGATACAACGAATGGCAGTGAGAATTAAGGCGAAGGTTGCAAAGTATTGGTATGAGGCAGATAATGAGGAGAATATTAGGATGAACCGTGTGATCTACATTGCATGTGTGTTAGATCCGAGGCGCAAGTTGGCCTATGTTGAATTTGTCTTGAAGCAGATGTATGGCCAAGAAAATGGGAAGCAAATGGCTAAGGATATCAAACAAGAGATGAGTGACTTGTTTGAAGATTACAAGAAGAAGCTCCAGTCTCCACCTTCAAGTGCGCCGGATGCTGTTGCCACCTCCACAACCACTCTTAGTGGGAGTTCGAGTAGTGGTGTTGTGATGGGAGGGAAGATGACTTTTGAGTTCAAGAAGTTGAGGAAAGAAGAGCTTGATGCGGGTATTCGAAGTTCTTCAGAGCTGGACATCTATCTGAATGATGTCAATGATGCTGTTCTTTTCGATGACGAGGATGATAGCTTTGACATTCTTAAATGGTGGTCCGTCAGCAGCATTAGATATCCCGTGCTTTCTGAAATGGTGCGGGATATTTTGGCCATTCCGATTTCTTCTGTTGCCTCCGAGTCTGCTTTCAGCACAGGAGGTCGAGTGCTATCCTCATTTAGGTCCTCCTTGACCCCGAAGATGGTGGAGGCATTAATCTGTGCCGAAGATTGGATACGATTCCCTGATTCCCAATTGGTTCATGATGAAGAGGATCTCGAAGAGCTAACTGAGTTTGAAAGTGGTAATATATCATTTCTTCCTTCTAATTATGCTTTAGTTTTCATATTTGACAATTTGCCTATCTTAGTTTTCTCATTATAATCTACTTTTCATGTAGTTTATGAGGTTTTACAAGCTCGAATGGCTAATCAAAGTGGGAGTGAGTTTGATTCAGTTGATCCTACTCCTACTCCTACCCCCATAGTTGATGGACTTGATGATGTTGCTGAATATGATTCTGATGTCAATCCTGATGATGAGAATGAAGATCTTGGAGTAAATGATGACATCGGGCTAGACGATTTGGAGCGAGATCCCCGAATTTAGGTTGATGATTTGGAGAATGAACTTGTTATTTGTTATTTGTGGCTTGTTGTGATTTGTGAACTTGTGACTTCTTTATTTGAATTGTTGGCATGTAAAAGATTTATGGTGTGTGATGAATGATGACTTGAGTTGTGATTTAATTGTGTTTGGGTTAGACTTTATGTTCTGATTTGATAAGGGCAGCAGCAGGTTTTTATAAAAAATGCAGCAGGTGTGTGTGCAGAAAAAATGCAGCAGCCAGCAGGTGTGTGTGCTGTGTGCAGGATCTCGGTTTCATTGGTCGGTTTCTGACCGAAACCGAAAACCGGCTTCCTCTGGCGGTTTCGGCTAACCGTCCTCTCAAACCGAGACCGACGGTTTCGGTTGCCGGTTAACCGAGGACGGCGTCGGTGTCGGCTTCGGTTGGGGAAAATGAGCGAGTTTCGGTCTCGGCTAACCGACGGTGCGGTTCGGTTAAACCGAAACCGCACCGATTAACAGCCCTAGTATGTACTAGTGGGATTTGGAGCATATTGCTTGAGGTCAATTGCATGTGGACTTCATGATCTATTCTGTTCTTTTAATTGTGTAAGGTGTTGCACTGTTGCTAACTCATTGGCGCAGATGGAGCCTTGCTGAAACCAGCAAGAATTCCAAGTATCAGGGAATCGAAAGAAGTTCAGTATCCTGCCTCAGGTTGATGACGTATCTATGTAAACGTGTGGCAATGGCAGAAGTGCAGTCAGTAGTTACAAATTTCAATAGATTTATAATCGATGGCCAACGTACACCAGAATAGGAAAACTATGAAAGACTGCTGCTACTACTACAACTCCCTATTACTGCTCAATGCGCCTAAAAAAGCCAGACAAAACAAGAGCACAAACTATAGCCTCAAAGAAGAACAAAATCGAACCAAGCAGAATTCGAGAGAAATGAGAAACAGCAACTGACATAGCACAGTGCACCTAACACTAGCAAACTTGAGCATTCTCCCGCCCTCCTGCTTCTGCAATTTCGGATTTACATTCCACAGCAGCAAGTGATCATCCACCGTGGTTACTAGCCTGTGTACGCCCAACATGAGACAATCTCGAGGATGCAACCAGAGGTTGTGCTTCCTCATCTGCAGCATCGGAGGACGATAAGATGTTTGCTGTACTGCCATCACCGCCATTATTAGGCACATATATATCGGATGCCTTCTTGTCCAGTTTCCAATCCTGTTGACCATGCAAACACCATCAACGAACAGGAAGTTAGATGAGTGCTGAGGAAAAGACTACGATTGAATTACAGGTGCTTAACCAGTTTAGATAGTCTGAATAATTTTCAATTTTACAGTAGAAGTTTCGTAAGCCAAATCCACAATATAACCAGAAAATGTAAAGTCACCAAGAACGCTTCTATAATCCGTGAAAAACAGGAACAATAAACATGAAAAGATCGTAACCAGTCAATAAATTAGAGTTGGTTTTCCTGTTTTAGGAAAACCATTAGGATGATTTATTGGTTTTAGCCCATTGGTCAATAGTTTTGATTGTAGCTACTCCATAACAGGTTTTGGTTCTCGAGGTTTCGGTTTGGCTGGTTAACCAACCTAGTGAGATCATTGAGGTTAATAGAAAAAATCGGGGTCAATAAAGCTCAACTACAAACCTTCACCATTCTTTCAGGAGCAGCTTCAGGGAGCTGCGATGATGCGCGGACATCTCTGACCTTTAAGTAGTTGTACATTACGACACCACAAAGTGCTGCACGAGAGGAAATCAAATTACATAGTAAGTTTCCGGAAAACAAGTGCTAACAAGAGGGACACATTAGAATTCCTCAAAGATAGCTATTAGGAATACAGAATACATACCAATTGCATAACCAATTATGTTCATGCCAGTTATAGTAGACTCGGGAAATATGACGGTTGAAAGGGCTATCAGTATCCAGTCTTTAAGCACACCAGCAACCCTGATGGTGACTGCCCCAGTTCTTCCAATCACCAAGAATATGGAGAAGTTCAAGGCTAATGCACAGAGTGCATTAGAAAAGAAAATCCAGAAATTGAACTGAATCTGTGAGACTTCCATTCCTGGTTTCTCCAGTAGATACCAAGGTACAAACAGAAACACAAAACTGCATGTAACATAATAGAGTGACGTGAGTGAGCAGCTACGACTGTGGGATACAAGTTCGTAATATAACATCTTAATAATCCAGGAAAGCATCTGGATATAATTTACGGTGATTGTTTATGAGACATAAGAAAATGGGTGCATCTGCGGCTGGTTTTCTCCTTGTGCTTCAAGCAATAACACAAATTTGAGTACATTAAAATGTAATAAGCTTCTTCTCCATTAATCCAACTCGAACATGCAGAACTCTTAATTCCATTCGTAGATGATAGTGAAAATCAGAGAGTTCTAGAGAATACATTGAATCAATGAGACAAAAACTCGCTAAAGGAATGACCATAAAGCCTCAAAAAACTGATCGCATGAACACGTAAGGAAGAATGCAATTGAAAACCAATAACTCGAAAGTAAATTAATCTTAAGATAAGTCACTCAAAAGAAAGAGTTCAAAATCAGATAAAAATGTCACATGGGGGAAGCCAGATCCAAGCATCATAAGAACTACCTGCATGGAGCTATGTAATATAAGCTGGTGATAGGATTCAGGGTCAAGCCCTTCTTCTGTAGAAGAACTTGAGTTAAGACCAGCCTAAGTGCTTCTGCAAAGATGCCAGTAACCTGGTAAACTGTGCCAACTACATTAAAATGGATTTCCCCGTACGAGGAAACGACAACTCCAACACTGACCACCAACATGTTTAAGAACACGTCACACCTTGCTTTGTCAGTGCCACATAATACTGCCATGATAAAAGTTGCCACTGGCACTGCAAAGGAAATTGTGCAAAGGATGAACAGGTAGAAGATTAAATCAAACGTAACAAATAATTGACAGATCATAAAGTTGCACATCTTCTTAATTCCACTTACTTAAAGCCTTAAGCATCTGGATGAAGGCCACTGAAATATATAAATATGCAGTGTTACCAAACCTGCATACATGAATTAGTCAATACTCAATAGGCATCTCACCTACGGAAATGGTAAGCTAATCATAAGAATGAGGGACTTATAATTGACGAACAGAGCGCTTAAGCACGGAAACAAATAAGATTCTGTATGTGCAGTTTTGCTGAATATGGTGGACAGGTATCAGTATCACAAACAAAAACTAGTACTAAAAATAGTTACTGAGCCTGTGACAATGTACTGATACAACCTAGTGATTCATGCAATGCAATGCAAGGCATGAAATGACTGTTTGTTTTGCCTACATTACATCACTACTTCGCCAATTAACCACAGCAACGAGTAAGCATGTTATAAATGTTACAGAATATATTGCAATGTTCAGAAAATGCAGAAGCTTGTAGAATTCAACGAATGAAATCGTACTGGTTTCAAGTGATGGAATAGGTAAAGCAATTACATTTAATCTCTTACCAAAGACTTGCAGCGAAGAAGGCGCTTATGGGTATGACACAAGTGGCATATCTGCAGCATCAGGGGAAAGCGAAGTTAACACTGGAAATGAGAGGAGGGCGGTTCTCAATATAAGGACGAATGGTAGAAGATATGCATACATTTCGAAGGTCATTTTGACAGGAGACACAACCTGCACGCAGTCGAAACTAAAATGAGGCAGAAGGCAAGAGATACAGTAATAATCAAGAAAAACAAATTCAGCAACTAGGGGGATCCAAGAGCACTATAAAGCTGTTTTGTCATTTCGGCGAACATGGAAAGATTGAGTTGAGTGTATGCTTAGGAATTCTGTAGCATTCAGATGGGTTGGTGTTTCCTTCTGATTTCCTCTCTCAAGGCCGTAATCAGGTAATGGTAATAACAAACAGGATCAGGCAAGAACAAGGCACAGAGGGTTCTCCTATCAAATGGGGTGCTCCAAAGTGAGGTTGCACAAATTTAAGTTGACAGTAATTAGCACAGTGGGCGGACCTTGAAAACGCGGACGAGGAAGAAGGAGACGATGCCGGAGAATGCCATGTGAATCATAGTGAGCGTGATGGGGAAGGGGAAGTTGAAATACTTGGGTGAGAGAACCCACTGCAGAAGCAAAAATGAGAGGAAGGGTGAGGCAGGCAGCAAGCAGAAGCAGCAGCAGTAAGGGAGTGAGTTCGTCGTATATACCTTGTTGTAGAGGATGACACCGGAGGAGAGGATGATGTAAATCAGAAGGTAGATGTACGTGAACACGAGGGTCTTGCTTATCATCGCCATGGTTGACCCAGTTTGCTAGCTTCAAATGCGGCCAGCAGCAACGGGAGTGAGCGAGGAGAAACCCAGTCCCAGAGACAGTGATAGCTGCTTGCTTAGTTAGCAGAGGAGAGGGAATAAAGAAGGCGACCGGAGGTTCGGGGGAAAATGTTGCAGTCGGAGATCAGACGGTGGATCCAAAAGCTAAGCAAAACTTGCCGAGAGAGAGAGAGAGCGCGTCCGATGAAAACCCAAAACGGAAGAAGAGCGCGAAAAAAGCTTAAGCTCGAGGAAAGGGCATCGCAATCTGCTATACTCCAAAATCAATCGACCATCGATAATGGCCATCCCAATATTGCCATTACCATTCCCATCCACAGGACGGAAAGAATTGAGAAAGAAAACTTGGACGCACAGAAGAGAGAGAGGGAGAGAGAGTGAGATCTGTGTTTGCGTGTTTGTTGCAGCGAGGAGAGTTGCGAGGGAGGCGGCTCTTTCTTATTTACCTCGAACCCAATTTTTTTTTTAATATTAAGTTAATAACAACAACAATAATAACATGGCGCCGTCCGTCCATCCCTTCTCTCCAACGGTGGCAGAGCAGCCGCCGGCGGCGGCTCTTCCGACCAACTAGAATGAATTATACTCCACCCAAACACTTAAAATCCCAATCCTTCACTCAACGTATCGAACTCTGACGATCAATCAAATTGGAAAGACTGTTACAGACAGACACAATTAACCCAAGTTCCATTCTTTCTCCGTCCAACCCAGACAGACAGACCCATCACTCTCTTCTTCCCATCTCTCTGTTTCCGCCATTTTCCTGCTCAGAGTGAGCAACACCATTAACTGATCAGCGGATAAATAACCCCACTCCGCTCCGGAAAGCAGGACGAAATTATCCATGGCGGACAGAACAAATTAACAAACCTCCCGGCTTTTTATTATTTCGATTTCACAATTTGGGTGAAATCCCAAGTTTATAAACACTACATCGACATTGGATATAGATACAAAGGCGAAAGTGCGAAGGAGTGCCTAATTCCTCTACTCTCTTTTGATGTTGGGGTTCTGAATGCTCTCAGGGTAAAGCAACCTCTGCGCGCCAGTCATTTCCAGCACCCTCTTGCTCGGCGCAGCAGTCTCCGGCCCGCCCGGCGGGCTGGTGAAGAACAAGCGGTAGGCCAGCTCGACGGCGTCGGGGCAGAAAATCTTCCACAACCAAGTGGTCCTGTACCAGGCTGGAACCGTCAAGTACTTGTCCCCTCTGCAAGCGCTCTTCACGATCGCGCTCGCCGTCGACCTGACCGACGCCACGGGCACGGCACCCACTTTGGCATCCCTCAATTCCTGATCCACTTCCATTCTGCCCTCACTCGTCATGAATTTGCCCTTCGTCAGCTCCGATTCGACGTACCCGGGAGTGACGATCAGGACCGACACGGCGTGAGCTAGCTCCACCCTCAGCGTCTCGAAGAAGGACACCACGGCCGCTTTGCTCGCCTGTGAGTAGTTAATTGAAGTTGCAGTTAAATTCGGATCGAAACAAAGTATCGAAATGGGGTGGGGGCTATGAACACACAAGACTCACATTGTAGAAGCTCATCTTTGCCTCGGGCAGCCACGAAGCAGCGGACGCCATGGCGATGATCTTGCCGTAGGATCTGGCCAGGTGCGGTATGGCGAATTGGGTCATGTAAACCGATCCCCAGAAGTTGGTGTCCTGCAGAACGAAAACATTTGGGGGACTGAATCTCACTTGAAAGCTGATGAAAAATGTGATTTTGTGCAACTAATTACCATGATGGTTCTGAAGCTGGTGATATCGGCGACATCTTCGAAGTTGCACACCGAAGAGATCCCAGCATTGTTCACCAAGTGATCCACTAGCAAATTTCCATGCCCAGAAACAAAAACAAAACAATTGAATGTTAAAGACGTGAAAACAGAGAGAGGGAATTGAGCATGTTTGACACTTTGATTAATCAAAATTACATCTTCCGCCGAATTGGTTAACCGTTTCGTCGACGATTCGCCTGCAGTCGTCGACGTTCTGGACATCTGCAACGATGGAGATGACTTTCGGGGATCCCAATTCAAGAGCGACCTCGGCTACATCTCGCAGCCCGACTTCTCTGCGGGCGACGAGTGACAGGCACGCGCCTCTGCTCGCGTACTCGTAAGCCAGGTGCTGCGGGTAAAAACAAGAAGAAAAAAACAGAAATTTAATCATAGCACAGAAAGGAAAGCAAGGTGATGAGAGGGATTTCAATTGAAACTTACTTCGCCGATGCCGGAGGAGGCGCCGGTGATGAGGACGACCTTGCCGGAGACGTCCTCGCTGGTGAGGTAGTGCAGCGCGGTGGTGCAGGCCTTGTAGAGGTAGTAGGGAGGGAGGAGGAAGCAGAGGGAGAAGAAGGTGAATGGAGGAGCTACCAAGTTCAGGAACTTGTGAATCAGATCCATTAGTAGCTGCGCTGTTGTAGTAGGAGTATACCAGATTGCAAGAGGGAATTCCTGAGAATGATGATGGAGAGCCGGCGGGGGGAAGGGGGATTATAATGGGTTTGTGGATAAGAGTGGAGAGAACGGAGACGAATTCTTTCTGGAGGAGGGGAAAGGGGGAAGGGAAACCATGGCGGACGGAGCTGAGTGGCGTTTGCTGCATGTACTGGACATGACACGTGGGGCAAAGAAGAAAATTCGAAACGTTTTTCTTTTGCCGCTTCCTGTGTTTAGGGGAGGGAAAAGAAAATTTTGGGGATAATTCCTTCCGACCTTAGCCATTGCCAGGGTCATATCTAAGATTGCTGTTGAAAAAGGATAGCAGCAGCAGTGGGCAACACTGCAACTTTCTTTAGTTTCTGGAATCTAACTCAATTAGGGGTGGTAATCAATTGGTATTCGGTAAACAAGATATCGAGTAGTCGAAATTCGGTATACCGGCAATTGAAATTCTGTCGCTGAATATCGATACCGAAAATTATTCGATATATAATATGTCAGATAGTTGATTACCGATATTTTAACTAGTATATCGGATACTGGATAGATCGTTTTCTTCCAAAATTGCAATCATTGAATTGTGAGTTCTAAATTCGTTGAAAACCTTCCTCCCTTATTCTTCTTTCTGCCAGCCACAAGCTCTCCCTGATCCCTCCAATTTCATTTCCAAAACCAATTGTCCAATTATCATCCAATTATACATCTCACCAATTAAACAAACAACACCAAATGCCTAGATCAAATCCCAAAATCAACACTTTCACTGTCGAGGAATGTGATATGCTACAAGTGGCGCGGGTTGAGGTTTTGGAAGCAGAAGTAAGAGAATCCTTTGCCCTTATTTCATATATGCTATTTCGGTATTCCAATATATCCGGTTGCCGTCGATATATTATCGGGTATTATCATGTATACCGTTATGCCAAATCACGCCATCGAATACCGATACCGCCGGTATCCGGTAATACCGAATACTGGTTTACCGATTACCACCCCTAAACTCAATTATGGTGCTCATAAAAATGTTTGTGAGAACGTGTTCATAATGCTGATTTATGTACATTGAATTGAGAGTGTACGCTTCATACCATTGAACAAATAGGGTAAAATTCATGGTCCATGAAACCATACCGGATATCATACCGAAAAAGTCAGCGGTATGATATTTTATGATAAAATCGTGGTTTAACCGTAGTTCAACTGTTAGATCGTTAAATATCGTCTATAGATTTAGCCTCTGATACTGGTATTTCATGGTTGAACCGCTAGTGCGGTACGATTTCATGGACCATGGTAAAATTACTACTGAACAAAATGAGTGAAAGATAGAATTCAGACTGCTTTTTCGTGTTTGCTAATATGAAGAAAAGTAGTATTTGATAAATTGTATCGTACTAATGGTGCGATTGAAAAATTACCTATCAGTGCACAAATCAATATAAAATTCTATCATGATGAAATGGTGTACGGTTTACGCACAAAATAACCTACCACTAACTTATTATGTACAACTTTCTTATTGTATACCAATCTCCAAAAAAATAATGAAGTATCTTGGATGAATCAATTCTGAAACGAGACAATTTGATAAATTGTGTTACTTTATAAAACGAACCATTTATAATGAGTTAATTCACATTATCTACCATATTTTTTCCCGATAATTCATTACCTACCATATTCCAAACAATTGAAATTGACTAAAAATAAATTAATTCAAGCTATCTAAATTTTTTTTAATAAATCAATCAATTTGATCAAATTATCTAAAAAAAATAATGAATGGGTTACAATTCATTATCGAAGGTTGCAAGCTGCAAGCCTGCAAGAGCCAAAAGTGTAAGGCAAAGTGACGCAAACCATCTCGTTGTTGTTTGAAGCCAGTTTGCAGAATCAAGGGGTCCGGGAGCTCAGAGGGAACGCTGCTAGTGCTCGGCATGAAGGATCAGATATTGATCCAGGGATGCGAAGGGTAGGGTCATTCCCTCCTAACAACGGAATAAGGGATCGTCACCATAGCTCCCCAAAAAGCACAAAACGAAGATCCAGTGTTTGGATCACCAAAAAAGGGAAGTTTGTAAGCTTCCAAGGAACTCAAATGATAGCTTCCTGTCCAAATAAACAACCAAAGTTATCGAAGGTTGAGCTGTGGCGATTCAAGCTGCCCTCCCCATAATTTATAGACAGAGAGGATGATACAGCCTCCCCTTCTATACTCGTTGGGAGCGTGCTCCTGACTGGCAGCAGTGTTTCGGGTCGTATAATATCAAGTTTTGATAAGACCTGGTTGGCTAGTCCAGTGTTTGGGACTGGCCGGAAGTTGGTGACTTTCCAACATTTGCCAGTGAGGACTTGTCGTTTTCCCCTCGTGGCGACCGGAATAACGAATAGCAGGGCCAGGGCGAACCGGTGAACGCAAGGGAGTTTGTTGTTCAGTGAATCTAGCCACCTAATCCCAGGTCCGGTTTTGGTGGGATTTAATCCCCTCCTATTCTGCTAAAGAAAATGAAAACGACTTCGGATCAAAGTCGGACTCCCATCCCCATATGCAACCTCTACACCCGAACCCTAGCCACATTTCTGCTCTTTGGGTGGCAACTGGACTCTCTAGTTTATTTAAACCCGTCCCCTATACGTCACACTCTATCAATTTCCCATCGTAGCGTGTGTTTGTCAACGACAGAGAACAACTCCGACCACGCGCATCAGTCTTCAAGCTCAGGTTTGCGTATGTCTTTCCACATATGACCTCCCTACCCTAATATTAGTGGTCTATCTTCACTGTTGAGTGTACCTGTTGTCTTTTCTCATGAAGAGAGACATGCATATGGTTCTCGACAAGCTGGTGAAAGACTCCTCCAGGTGTCTAACATCTTGATTCCCCATGATTGCTCTTATGTACCTACGATGGCTAGTGTTCAAGATGATCAAGTTGTTCAATTCTCGCTGGAGGAACTCCATTCTGCAAGGTTTCGAAGCTCTTGTGCCTTGGTGGGAAGACTTTTTACGGATGATAATAGCTCCGTTGCGGAGCTCAAAGACTCGTTGAATGTCCCTTGGCAGGGGAAGGGGAGGATACAAGTGATGGTGGACAAACATGGTTTGTTTGAATTCGTGCTGCCAAGTGAGGCATCTAGAAATTGGGTGCTGAAAAATACACCCTGGGTGATCAAGAATAAAATCCTGCATCTCCGAGCTTGGATGTCCAATGTCACGAAGCGGACTTTTGATGATCTCGCCATAGTTCCCTTTCGTGTCCAAATGAGGGGCGTGAAAGAAGACTGATGTACAAAGCAGTTTGGAAGAAAGATGGCTAATAATACCATTGGCCATGTCCTAAAAGCGGGTGTATTTACCTGCACGGACACTAGCGAATGATTCGTCAAGGTTATGGCATTGATTGATTTTTAAAACCCGCTGAGATCACAACTAATGGCGACCAATGATGAAACGGGTTGCTTTTGGGTAAACCTGAAGTACGAATACTTGCCCATCTTCTGTTTTCATTATGGATGTGTCAGCCATATGATGAATGCCTGTTCTTTCGATCCTCCTACACGGAACAAAAAGTTTGGCTCGCACATGTCTACCAAGAAGTTGGGGATGAGAGTTTATGATGAGGATGATGAAACCACTTTGTATCGCGGAGCATCAAAGTCAGTAACGGTCAACAAAGATATTCGAGAAAATAAACATGGCCAAGCTCGACTTGGGATTTTGCTCCATAGAAGGAGGCAAGATCGGTCGCTCTCACTGAGATAGTTGGGGCGCGCCGCCACCCAAAGAAAAGAGATGCATTGGTGCAATCCATGCATATAGCAGAGGACGTGATGAGTCGAGGCAGCAGTCCACGGGGCTTCTCCCTAAAGAAATCTCTGAAGCTGCAGCTAGGTCGGGCCTTCCAAAGATCAACTCCAAAAAAGGAGTATGGGGAGAGCTCTCGCTCTGATCGACTGCGTGCTTCCCACCAGCATGGCAAGAAGCTAGGCCAGCCTCGTGCAAGGGACGAAGAGAAGCTGCCGCGAACTGCTGGGGACGTTCCAGATGATGACTCCAATCTTGTGGGAACAAACCTTGGGAGGCCTCGTGTACGGGCCGCAAAGGGGATGTCTAGGAATGCTAGGGACATTTCGCTTGGTGCTCGATCAGGGCAAGGGGAGGAACTAAGGGTGGTTGAGCCAGGGTCCGCTGGGCGTACTCACGATATAGTCCGACGCATGAGGATGATACTTGAGGATGATTCGGATGATGACCCCGTGCCCGCAGATCCTCCCATGCCAGCCATGCAACATGATATTAAGGGTTCGTGAGCCCAGGGGAAAGGAATGGTGACAACGCGATCATCTGGCTGATTGTCGTTAAAGGGTGGCATAAATCAATCGAGGGTCGAGTCTCCCCAGGTTGCTCGATGTACACGAAGAAGCTCCAAGCCTGACCTGGAGCGTGTTGGGGAGAAGAATCGAGGTTAGGCTGTCCATTTTAATGAAGTAGTGCAGGACATGACCCCGAGGGTGGATGATATGGTGGGTGTGGATTGGTAGGAGTCCCTCACGGCTGCCCCGCCGAGCACTCTCTCCTCTTCGCCTCTTGGCCAACTTTCATCATCGCTGGCTTGGGATCATGCCAAGCATAAAGATCATGACCTCTCAAGATCAGAGACGTCGCTACCGGAGGAGGAAGAACAATGTTTTGAGCTCAAGAGTCGCGCCCCAGGTAGGGTACAGACAACAGCTTCTAGAACCACTGTAACACCCCGAATTTTGGGTGATGGTTCGACCATAATACGTAACCGGTTGGGTTGTCAGTTGCGTACTAAAAATTGCAATCGCGGTTTAGTAATAATAATAATAATAATTATTATAATTATTATTTTATTATTAAAAAAAAAAAAAGAAAGGTGCATGGTGGGGGCGGTCATTTAAACCCGCCGCCCTTCACAAATTTCCCCAGGCCATGTTCTATAAAAAAAAAAAAAAAAAAATTAATAATAAATAAACCCCAAAACCCGCCCGCTTTCCCCACCACCGACCCTGTCCATTATTTCCCCCAACTTTTTTTTCAGAGAGCTTAAACCGCCGCCCCTCTTAGACTTCCCAAACCCTCGCTCTCTCTCTTTCCCAAGCCCCGCGCCGATCAAAAGAAAACCCCACCAGCCGCCCTCTTTCCCGATCGCTAGCAGTCCCGCGAGAAAGGAAACCCCACCAGCCGCCGCCAATCAATCGATCCCATCCCTCTCGTGTTCTAGGTAAAGATCACAAACCCCTTCGCGATTTCTAAACGCGATTTATCGTTAGACTAATTCGAGGCTCGGATTTTTATTAGCGGTGGCGTTGAAGGTGTCAGCGAGGAGATCA